AAAGTCTTGCATTCTTTTAGAAGTTCATCTATGACTTCTTGTGCATCATTATCATAAATAGAAAAATCGTTACTAACCTCATCAATTTCTTCATCGGAATGATGTGACGCCATAAGAGCCATATTTACACATTTATCGTTTTCTGACTCTGATGATGAACTTATCTCGTTATCGTCCCAAGCAACATAAGCCTTTTTATTTTTGAAATCCTTCTTGCCTTTGAATCCTCCTTTCTTTGCAAGTTTCGGGCAATCTGGCTTTATGTGACCTTGCTTCCCACATTCGTAGCATGTGACTTCTTGGTTCGATGTGGATGCATCCTTTTTCCTAAAATGTCTATTCTTTTTAGGAAAAGAGGAATTTTTATTATTATTAAAAAACTTACCAAGCTTCTTTACAAGAAGCATGAAATTTTCATCTTCGGAAGTCTCGTCGTCTTTGTCATCCTTTGTGTCAATCTTCAAGGCAATTCCTTTGGACTTTTTTTCTTGACTTTCATGCTTCTCGAGTCTTCCAAGTTCCAATTCATGCTCTTGAAGTTTGCCAAATAAGGATGCAGATATCATTATTGAGAGACTTTTCTTTTCCGAAATAGCAGTCACCTTTGGTTGCCATTCTCTTGTTAAGGATCTTAGGACTTTCAGGTTGAGATCATCATTGGTGAAGGTCTTTCCGAGAGCAATCAAATGATTTGTTAGATGAACGAATCTCTTTTGTAAGGCAACAATAGATTCACCGGGCTGCATACGGAACATCTCATATTCTTGACTTAAAGTGTTGAGTCTTGATCTTTTTACTTCAGCGGTTCCTTCATACGTTTCTACCAAGGTGTCCCAAATCTCTTTTGCCGATCTACACTGTGATACACGGAAGAATTCGTCCATACTGAGAGCGCTTTGGAGTATGTTGATTGCTTTCTTCTCATCAAGAATCTTTTTCTTATCATTTTCATCATACGTGCTTTTCAACTTTGCGGTTCCAACGCCATTGACCACATTTACTGGATTGTGTGGTCCTTCTTCGATTGCTTCCCATATACCTTCTCCTTGGGCTTCAAGATGCGCCTTCATTTTGATTTTCCAGAAATCGAAATACTCTCCATAAAATAGTGGTGGTTTATTACTACTTCCACCGTCTTTGAAAACCAGGTTGGTGCTAGCGGAAGCCATACTGAATCTTTTAGGAACAGGTTACCTTAACCTGCTCTGATGCCTATTGTAAGTACAAAGTATGCCTAAGAGGGGGGGGGGGGTGAATTAGGCTTTAGAGAATTTTTCCGGTTTTTCGGTATTCTTGAATTTTACTTCTTTAAGAAAGTTGGTGATGAAAGCGGTAAATGCAGAAAAGGAAAGAACACGGAGAATTATAGTGGTTCCCCTCACAATCCGAGAGTACTCCACTCCCCTTTCAACATGAAAGAGAATTTACTATAGTTTTAGAATTGTACAACCTATCACACCATCAACCGGTGAGGCCTACTTTCTAACAACTATACAATAGCTTAGTGTGCAAGAACAATCCTCTTGCAAGCACTAACCCTTGTGTCCAACAGTCTTGGATCACAAGTCACAATACAAGTAATTTGAATGAATTAATTTGAGAGTAATAGCAATGATATCAATACATAGATTGATCTTCTCCTTTTGATCAGAATTCACTCTTTAGTATCAATACAAGTGTTCAATGCTATGGATATGAAATATATGAACAATATGAACACTTTGAGAAAATTTGAAAATATTTGAATTTGAGTGAATTTGATTCAATGAATATTTTGAAAATTATTGGAGGTGTTTTTCAATTTTGAAATAATCAAAATTTATATGAGCCAAAACACCATTTCAAAAAGGTATAATTGAGTATGAATAAAAAGATGGAAAGGTATAACATTCAAATAATATTTGAACATGAAAGGAAACAATTTTTCAAAATACGTTCAGTGTTAATCGGTTAACCATATAGGTTAATCGGTTAACACTGTAACGTTAGTTCAAAGAATTCAAATTTTAAGGGCGTTAACCGATTAACCCATATGGTTAATCGGTTAACACTGTAAAAACTTAGAAAAATATTTATGTTTTAAGTGTTATACCAATTCTAAAGAGTTTAAAAACATGCCAATGCAGTATGCAAAAATTATGGATTATTTGAACACTTGTATATCAAATTAAAGAGGGAATTTTGATATACCAGCCTTGTGTTCAAGTCTTGACAGATGAAGAATAATTTGCACAGCAGCTTGACTTGTAAGTTATAATTGCATAGACTTGATCAGTTTGAAAGCCTTGACTTTTTGCAATCATGAAGTGAGCTTGAGTTGAGTTGACATCATCAAAACATTGAGATTGAAGTATGCTTGCTTCTACATTCTCCCCCTTTTTGATGAGGACAAGCAAAGGTTTAAGTATGGAAGAATTTGATAACACTGAAACACACTGCATATTTGACTCTGATTGCACATGTTTATAATCATTTAATTGTTATTTTCTTGCATTATGTTTGTGTTTTGTCTTATTTTCAGGTACCTTGTCTAATAGGAGCCTTGCACGAAGAAACTAAGTGAAGAGAGCGAAAAGCATAGATTTTAGGGTTGATTTACACACACGTCGTTCCACATGGCGTTGGCCATGGGGGTAGTCGTGACGTGTAGAGTTTCCCCCACGTCTCAACGGTCAAAAGACCAAGTCATATTTACCTTACACACATGGCGGACGCCAAGGGTAGGTGGCAGGCACCATCTTCCTTGAGTGAAGACCAGTCAATGGGTGGTTGAAAAATGAGGCCATGACTAGAGGTTTTCTCTCCCACGATTTTTAAAGGCTCAACTTGACGTCCAAGGAAGCATTTCACTATAAATAGGACCTAGTTTCTCATTTTTTAGGCACTCAATTTTAGTTACAGCTTAGGCATATATCTCACATCTGTAAAACGATAATTCTTCATATCAGAGAGTTATCGTACCGTGGTTGTAATCGGGTTTGGAGCATTGTAGACTTAGAGTTTTAATCTTGTCGTCATTTAATTTCCAGTTGCACCAGAATTTGAGTCTCTGGTTTGGAGCAAGTTTTTATTTAATTCATTTGCAGTTATTATTTATTTATCTTGCATCACATTTATTTTATCGTTTATTTTCCCACATTGCCTTTACTTTTCTTACACTGCCTTTATTTTATCGTTATGTTTTAATTCGTTTGTTGTCTCGCACGTTTACTTTGATTTGCCTTGACCCATCTTACTGTTTCCTGTTGTTACCCCTTTTCAAAACCCAATTGCACACTTAACACGTTTTCCCTAAATGACTTATTCCGATAATCAATTATATGCTATGTTGTTTACCGTAGTCATGTCCAACTAAATCTTTAGTGCTGGAATGTAAGGATCTTCGTTTCGATGATACTCTGTATGTTGTATTTGTAGGAATGCTTTAGGGGCTATTTTGGTTTTAATGCAATTTTTCTGTGGTTTATCTGATCGAATATTACGAAAGTAGATCCGTAATTACGTCGGGTAAAATCGAAAGCCTTCCAACACTTAAGATAAAAATTGGTCAGTTTTTGATTAAGAAACACATCGGAAACACTTTGTTAATCAATTAGGAAAGTTTGATATTATTAGAAAGTGATTTTAAAACTATTTTCGAACGCGTTTATATGTTTAGAATCCGGTTGGCCGAACATATGTCGGAAATCCTTTTGTATTAAAAATTTCCAATCAAAAGCACTTATTGACTAAGTCTTAGAGGTAGTTAAATACAAATAAAATTTTCATTTTAATGCAAGATGCGACTGACGCAACTGGTATAGATTAGAAGTCAAATCTGGTTCCGATTACGCTAACACGACAATTCCTTTCTAATTAACTTTTTTTCGAGGAAGAAAATATTGCCCCATAAGTAATTCTATTTAGACACGATAAGAGTATTGTTTGAACGATGTGAATTACATTCCAACATTGTTTCTCTGAATTTATTTTCATCTTATTTACTTTCTGTGACTTTGCAAACCCCTGTTTGATTCGCCTAAAATAGAACATCGTAACAATAGTACTAATAGCTTGACATTAGTCTCTGTGGGAACAATAATCTTTTATATTACTTTGACGTAGTCCGTATACTTGCGGAAGGCACTGACACTGGACGTCGATCAGTGCGCTAGGAACAAACCGTGTCTTGCGAATGAAGTGATATCTTTATATACTTTGAAACTCATCATAGTGAATTATATTGATCTGTTAGCTAAATGTCTTCTCAAGCATAATCTGCCTCATTCAACGAGAACGATTACATGAAATGCACACAAAGGTAATAGTATGATTTTGAATATTGATAGCAGTAGTCTCAGTATTCCCAAAGTCTTGGGTTTTAGTGGATTGATTCGAAATGCCTATGATGCTTGGGTTCACGATTTTACGAATAATATTAATTATTCCAATATTCTTTATTTTGAGCTGATGACATTATATAAAAGTTTGCATATGATATGAGAAATTGACATTAAATAATTAACGTATTTTTCTGACCCCAACTCTATTATCAAATTTATCCCAAAATTTGTTAGTGTCTGACATCGTTATATTGTAATTCTTCACAACATTAAAAAATTTATCTCTAAAAATAAAGAATTCAAATAATTCATATTTTTAAAAAAATATTTATACTTACTATCTAATAGCACATATAATATTGAAGCATATTGGTCTAAAAAAAACTTCATATAAAAATCATCTTTTTGTTAGTTGATGCTAGGAAGAATTTATTTTCTAAATATTTTTTTAGTTGATGCTAGGAAGAATTTATTTTCAAAATATTTTTTTTTCACTAGTAAAAAAAAACTATACAACTTTTTTATTTAAAAAATTAGAATTTAATTGATATACATTTGTAAGTGCATTCAATTAATCTAAAAAAAAACTATACAACTTGATTTAATTAACTTCATTTGATACATCCTCTCTATCACCGGCACTCTGGCAGCACTCCACGGCACCGCCGCAACAACGCAATGAAGGATGATTTCCAATCCGACGGATCTTCCGTTCTCCGTCTCAACATCGGTAACGTAATCCCTAATCCTTCCACAAACCCTAACCTCACACTATAGCACTACGCGACGCCGTTTGATTGAATTTCGTTTTCATTTTCGCAGGAGGGAAGAAATTCTGGACGACAATCGATACAATGACACATCGTGAGCCAGATTCAATGCTCGCTGCTATGTTCAGTGGTCGCCATACTCTCTCTCAAGATCCTCACAAGGTAATCCCTAATTTTTTTTCTATTGTTATAGATTAATATTAGGTTAAGAATGAAGGAAAAAATGGTAAATAAATTAGTTTAAATTTAAGCTTGATTAACAATGTAGTTATGATTCACATTATATGAATTAATTCCTTACATAAAAGGAAAGTTAGTAAGAATGACTAATTTATATTTAAAATAGTTTACATGAAGTGAAAAATTGAAGAAAAAAATGTCATAAAAGAGTTGTTATCCCTTTTATATTAAATAGCTATATGAGTAGTCTGCAAACTTAGCTCGACTCTCAAAGACCGATATTGCTAGCTTGGAAGGAGGAGGGATATTTTTTAAAAATGGTTGGGTTTGACGGGTGGGGAGAAGAGATTTTTATAGAGGGAAAGTGCAAAATTACATTTTTAATACGATTGTAATGATTAAAATGATCTTAAATGAAAGGACATTTATGTCCAAATGGGAAACAAGCATACTCTCTCTCTCTCTCTCCAAATCTTCTTATTTTGGAGGGATTTTGCTCCCCCTCCCTTCTCCTCCTCCACCCTCTTAATAATTGAACAAAAACATCTCATATTTAGAATAATCTCTCCTCTCCATTTCCCTCCAACTAAATTCATATCTCTTTAATAAAGATTCTTCAAAACTAATGAAAGACCTACATATGGACTTGATTAATCTTTTTATTTTTGCTGCATCAAGAGAAACATGGAATCTTAGCTCAATTGGCAGTGGTGCAGGGACCTCAAATTGCACGAGCGCGGGTTCGAACCCGCGTCATCCCACTTATTCACCTTTAAAAGGATGAAATTTCAGCCACCAGGCTACGTAAATAATTAAAAATTTGTGGTGCTAAATTTAGAAAAGGACTAAATTGACACTTATAGTTAAGGAACTATATTGCAATTTCTCAAATTTGAGGACTGAATTGCTTGACCTTTACTCACATGTTAGATTAATATTATTATTATCATCAATAATTGAATATTCAAATTAACCATAAGATTTGGTGCAAGTGGTTAGTGCTCTCGTCTAAAGGGCCAGACTTTGGACTGGTACACAAGTTCAACCTTGGTGATGACAGAAATTATAACCAGGCGTTATTTCCTCCTAGTCCAAACACATATTGGTCCATGTGTCATTTTGTTTCGACAAAAAAATACGAAGATCTATTTAATATTAGAGAAATGAAAAACACCAATGGTTCTAAAGAATCTCATGGGGATAAGATTAGTTATTTTAGGGATATTTTAGTTTCTATCTATGGCACGCCAACATAGACACTTGCACTCATAGTAATTTGAGAAAAATGAATAATTCAATGCAAGTGCATCTGTCAGACATCAAACATGTCTTCAATTTGATGTGTTGTCAGTGCTACACAGGTTTCTATAAGACAATTAGTTTTGCATTTGAGAATGTTAATTCTTTGAGACCAAATAGTTCCTAGTGTTTTTTGTCATGACCAATTTGGATATTTACTTATTATTGTGCTAATTAAACTAAAAGCATGTGGTGGTGAGATTATGTATTACCGTTTGACCTAACTCATCCTTACAAAACTGGCTTGTAAGGCGAGGGGTACAACTCTCTATCTTTATTAATATGTATAAAATTCTGTATAATTGTCAAATCATAGATTTCGATATATTTGTTGATTTTGGGACAGTGGTAATGTGTGTTTGCATTGCAGGGATATGTGTTTGTTGATAGGGATGGTACACACTTCAGACACATTCTCAATTGGTTAAGGGACGGCGTTGTGCCCACTCTCGAGGAACCCGAATATACAGAGCTGTTGAGGGAAGCTGAGTACTATCAGCTACTTGTGAGCACAACTTTCTTTCTTCAGTTTTTGCTTTTGTTTCTAGTGTGTAGCAATTCTTGAATGAATATAGTGTTTATAATCAAGAGCTTGAAATGATATGTAAATAACTTTGGCAAGGACTTCATTGTTTATTCGTATGGCTATAATCATGAGTATAGTTGTACTTGAATAGTAGACATAATTGAGTAAGATACATAGAGGAAGATAGCGAAAATACTCTCAAGGAAATAGAGCAAGGTATTGTCTTGTTGGTTTTGTTTTCTGCTAGTACTGTCATTATTGATTGGGTCTTATTTAGCATGGATGAGGCGCAATACTGCTACTAAAAATATAACAAATGTAATGAGAAGTACCATGCCAATTTTGTTTGTGATGAGAATGTCAGCCCTATGAGAGCCATGCATTGGCATTAAACGTTAGCATAAGGGCATGTTTCCTTTCTCTGTTTCTTGTTTTCATTTTCACTTCAACTCAAACATGAGAGTGTAGATTCAACACTTTCACCATTTTATTTTACAATATTTGAAAACAGATTCAACATTTTAGGTAACTTTGGAAATGACAAAATACTGTTTGCACTGGTTCTGAAACACATTCTCCCTAGCTAACCTTCTATCTTCTTTCTATCACAATCATTCATTACACGAGTCAAGCTCTATCTCCTTGTTAGCAATTTAAAATGAACACAAATTTTAGAAAATGGAAACTGAAAATGTTTATCTTTTTTAAGTAAACAAACCTGAAGTTTCTTTTATATTTTTTTTTCCTTTCCAATGTCATTTTCAATTGTGGGTTAGATTGCAGAGGAATTTGATAGGTTTTGAGCACGCATTCTCATCTCTCATACTTGACCTTTTTTTTCAAAATATAAAATTTTGGAATGCATTTTTGTAATTCTTGTAAGTTTTTTCCTGCTAGTTTCGTGACTATAGCAACTTTTTGCATTAATAATCCTGATCACAACTTTAAGCACAACGATCACAGTTGTTGTGAAGGTTGTGTCATTAAGAGCAATTTGCAATGGCAATTTTCCCGATCTTAACTCAAAGCCATCATTTGCTATATGATAAACGTATATTTGGATACTTGCTTTCTATTATATCTTACTTGGCTCTTCACTCCATGATGTTATACTTTTAAGTTTCTTATATACTTTCTTCCTGGATTCTCTCTAATTACTTTACTAAATGGAGAAGAAACTGAAACTTCAGGCCATATTGAATTCCTATAACCTATGATCACTGGCAAAACACTAGGGGCTTATAGATGGAATCCAAGATGTCCTTAATAAGAGGAAGGAAGATGATGAGCTCCGAACAGAATTGACGCGTACTGATATCATCAAGTGTATACAATCTGAGAAAGTCAGGTTTCGAGGGGTTAATCTTTCTGGCATCGACCTCTCTAAACTGGTATGGTATCATCCTCTCTAAACTGGTAAATTCTTGGACCATATATTATATAATATGTGTGTATATGTATACTTGTAAGTTGTAAAACATATGTTATTACTTGGATATGAGTTTTGGAGAGAGCTGTGCATTTTCTTTTAGTTATTATATAGTGCATTTTTTAATAGCCATTATATAGTGCATTTTCTTTATCTTGTGTTTTGGAACTTCAATTCTGTCAATACTTGGAAGTTGTAAGCTCATATATGTGAAAACAGTATTTAAATTAACTTGTGTTCATGTTTGTCTTATCTTAAATATTATAACAATTTGGGCATTTGAAGAATTCGCCAAAGAATGATATTAATCTGTTACCTTAGGCTGAGAAACTTATTTATGTAACCATTTTTCTAGAAATTAACATAATGTTAGACTGAGATCTAAGTCATCATTTTCAATAGAGTTTTTAAATGGTAAATTTATTCTGGGTAATACGCCCACTAACATCAACCCCTATATTGATCTCTTGAATTTTGGAGTTTCAGGATTTATCATTTGTGGATTTCAGCTATGCTTGTCTTAAAAATGTCTTCTTTTCAAGAGCAAATCTTCAATGTGCAAAGTTTCGGGTAAGTATGATTATAACCAGGCGTATTAATAAATTAATAATATCAGACAAGATAGGTTTAAAATTATTGAAGCTTGAGCTAAATTTAGTTCAGGCCATTCATGAATTAGGACTTTCAATAGTTTTAACACAGCTTATAGTCCAACACTACTGTCCAGCCAAATGATACCTGTCTGGTAATAGCCAAATTCTAAACCAGGAATAGCTAAGCTGGAAAACTACTCAAGGAGAAGAATTGAAAGATATGAATTAGTGTTGAGGGAAAAGTGAGAGAATATTACAATTGATCAGAATTGGCTATTTATTCATGATGCATGCCTTCAAGGCTAGAAGTAGGGAAATTGGTTATACTCATCTCACCAATCACTATAATCCAAAGAGAAACTTGTAACTAACTACCAGCTCAGCTTCGTAACAAAAATATATTGATGTAAATGATTGAGTTTTTTTTTTGTTGACAAATGTAAATGATTAATAGTGGTATGGACTATATTAGTATTTAGCAATCACCAAATATTTTCTTGATTACTTTTTGAAAGCATTAAGACTGCATTCATGCTTGTACTGTTTGATTTACAATTTGACCTAAAACATATATAATTTTATAGGATGTTGATGCCGAGGGCTCCATCTTTCACAATGCAAATTTGCGTGAGTAAGTCACTAAAAAAATTATGCTATTAAATTGCATACATGCTTGCAGGCCTCATAATTATTTCATCTTTCCTAGGGAAGATGTGAGTTTACTGGGGCAAATCTCCATGGTGCTTTATTGGCTGGTGCTTGCCTTCAGAGTGCAAATCTACAAGGTCTGTTTATATGTTATACGGTTACATGTTTTTTTTTATCTTTTATATCAATTCTGATGTTTGGAATCGAACTGGTATTATCACCACATAATGCAAATAACAACGAAACCTTTTCTCACTATTGAAGGGATCAATCTATTGGAGCATATCTAAATAGCAAATTTTTAGTCATTCTCTGCCCATTTAATCAGACTGTCTTCCATTTGATTCACTTTTTCATTTGAACCTTTATTGTTCTTCTTCTCTATTACCTAACCACCTCAATAAAGTTTACTATCTTCTCTTTACACTTGTCTAATTGTCCACCCCAGCATTTTCATCTATTACACAATTTTTTTTTGCTTGTGTTGGCAGTTTATTTTCACGATCACTCATCACTTCCATAGAGCTTCATTGGTCCTATAGCTTTCTAATAAAAGTCTCCTTTAACATAAGCTTTTTGCCATCACAAATTTTAGCCAAAGATTAACCCACAGTACCTACTGTGCAGCTTGTGGTATAATGTTATTCCCTATTGTAACTTTAAACTATTTCCAACTTTCATCTTATTAAACTTGATATCTCACTTCTAATTTACCAAAAGGCCCAAAGCTACCTTCCCCAACTCAAGTTTAGAGTTTACTCCTCTTATCGACAAGGAATTTATAAAATTCACAATTTGTGGCAATAGCTCTTGGATTTTTCCTAGCAAGTATAGCTCTTGGATTTTTCCTAGCAAGTATACCCAATACCAAATTAAAAGGTTATGCAACTTGGTCAATCCTAGGTGCAGACTTCTTGTTAGTGGAATCTTATACTATACTATAATGAGTTTGCACACTAGTTTTTGCCCAGATAAATATCTATCTATTTCTTCATTCTATAGCATGCCAGCGACTGTTGTTTTTTTGTATTTAGTGAATATATGTAACTTTTTTTTGCCAATGTTAGATGTTTGACAGAACACGCATGCCTTATTTTTATTATAAATTTGGCAGAAATTGTTTCATATTTGAATTTAATTGTTTTATTCTATCTGTTCTTCATTCAAGATGAATTAGGCTAGTTTAAATGAAGCATTATGCTTGGCATTTTCGAAAATAACATTTCGGATGCAATGATGTACTTGATAGTAGATAAGGAAAATATCGATAACAGCCCTTACTGGGACATTGCAGTGTGCATTGGCATATTTGTTTCTAATAGTATAGTATATTTGTGTTTGTAATTGGTCTACTTGATTCCTGTAAATGTAGTTCATTTGTGTTTGTAATAGGTCCACTTGATTCTTGTAAATGTAGTTCATTTGTGTTTGTAATAGTATAGTATATTGAACAGTATTCTTGTAATTGTATTTCATTTGTTTAAACTTCTATTTTGCAGATGCTTGTTTAGTAGATTGTAGCTTCTGTGAAGCAGACCTGCGATCTGCACATCTACAGGTTTGCCATACTTGAACATTTATCTTTATATATAATAATAATTTAAATTTGTTTATACCTTTCATGCTGTTCCTTATTTTATTCTTGAAGCTTTTAATTTGTGTCTTTTATTTTATCAGTGCAAGGTTCATTGTAGTATATTCTTTACCTTTGGTAATAAAGGATATTCCTGTATAATCTCCTTCCTGTCATTTTCTGTAGAAGTTCAAAGTGGCACGCGTAAACTAGCTTCTTTATTGCATTTTCCTATAACTCGTTAATATTTGGAGCGACAACAAAAGCCTTTTTCATCTAGGTATAGTGAATTGCAAGAATACATGACATAATAAAATCCTATCATAAATTAATCTATTGACACCATTCAGGTCTAAAATCATTGACCTGGCCTCTAGTTTTCCTTGGTCTCTCACAAACTCTTATTTCTACTATATTTCTCCTTTTTGAGACTTTTCTATAGGTTTTCCACTCATATAGATACCACATAAGGAAATGATCTACTATTTTTCTGCAACTGATGCCATCCCAATTTTCCCACAATATTGTGTTTAGTCATTCTTAATCCTATTTGTGGTTCAACCATTGGTTAATTAAAACTGTCCTATTCCGCCGTAACTTGAGCTATGATCATATATCTGTTAACCTTTTGAGATCTACAACGCCATTCATCTGATACTTTTCTACAATTAATGGCAAATAAATCATAGTTTCAGCCAGTGGAGGTTGGATCTAGCAGAAGGGGCTAGTCTCCCACCACATGGCGAACTAAGGTTTGAATTCCAACTGAGAGAAGCGTCCACATTAAGTGTTCGACACTGCTTCGAATAGGATTACCTTCAGTGGAAGGAACCTATGGGAGACAAAAAAAACCACTTAAGTTACCCTGGTCAAACAGTGTCTACATTCCGTGAATTCATTTTTAGTTTTGACATTGCATTAATTTTTTTCTTCTTAAGATGCTAATTACCTCATCTTAAATTTACAACTTCCATCTACCTTGTACTCTTGGGGATTTTTGTCAGCACTAACACCTGCAAAATTAATTTCCTAATGGAGGTGGTCGAATCAGATATTTGGTATGATTAGATAAATATAAGAGATGTCTATTACTTCATTTTATGAAAAGGAGCATACATTTGTATAAGTTATTGATTAGATTCAGTTTGGATTATCGTTTGTAATGCTTAGACACTTTAATTTGATGAAATTTTTATTCACATTTTATTGAATTGTTAAAAGTACTGTAGCGCGTGACTTTATGTAAATAATAATTTTTCCAAAGGATTATATTTTATTTCAAGTGATGGGTTTTAGCTTGAAAGATGCAGCACTAGTGTAGTACTGGTGTAGTAGTATTGTATCTTGCTTATGGGTTTGAGATGGTTGATTACTTGGAACCTTTAACTTCACAGAATGCTGATCTTATTAATGCCAATCTGGAGGGAGCTAATCTGGAAGGAGCTAATTTAAAGGTAAAGATATTGTGAATATAATTGGGCTGCAATGGAAACCCTTCAATGAATGTGTGTTTTCCTATTTTGGTTTTAGTTGACTGAAATTATTTCTCTATGCCTCAGGGTGCAAAGTTGAACCATGCCAACTTGAAGGGTGCTAACCTTCAACGAGCGTATATGCGTCATGTAGATCTTAGAGATACGGTATGTAAATGAGCTGAATTTTAGATAGAAGTATTTAAAAATTATTTATTCACCAGAATGAAGAATTCCTACACAGCTGCCAAAACAGCATATGAGTACAGCGTGTTCATAGCGGCCATAGCATAACAACACTCACTGTTCTGTTAAACGCTATTTAGTACAAAGTGTAGTCAAATAGTGGCTATAGCTAATAACACGGAAGCATAGTAGAATTTAACTATTATTTTCAGCAATCTGCAATGCAGGATAACATCGAAGGTTTTCAGTTTCTCCATGATTTGATGCTCCTTTTGTTTCAGAGTCAGGATTTTTGGCCAAATCTAATGTTTATTTTCTGGTTTTGGATGTCCACTGATGGCTAACTTTCAGATAACTAGCATTAATTAAGCCAACAAAAGGATATAGTGGGTGGGATAAAGACGGCAAGTTTATTCTGTTGTTCAAAATACAATAATCTTACATGATCGGTCTTTTTTTATAAATCAGGACTTGGAAGGAGCAAGACTTGATGGTGCCAATTTGCTTGGAGCAATCAGATAATATTTGGACTGAAGAGTGAAGAAGATATTAATCTTGTAAAGTGGGGACGTGGTTAAAGAATGTCAAGATGAGTTGACTTGGGAAGTTGAAAGTTGTCGTATCGAAAGTACTTACTATTGCCGCTCATGAAGTTGTGCATCGGGCCGTTGATCCACGTTATGGTTGTACTTGTTAATGATCTTCTCCAACGTGCTGTCATTGTAAGGAGAAAGCCATTTAGGCTTTTCTTGTTCATATTTGGTATTTCATTGAGTGGTTATTTGTTTATGTATCTAGTGAATGAAATTTGCAATGTTACTAATAGTATTTATAATATGTGAACCATCTGGTGTACAGTACTGTTTCTAATAACATTTAAGCATGATCATAATGGTTAAAAAGCTGATAATTGTTATATGTAGCAGGGTCACCTGAAATGATGTTGGAGAACATGATAGGCAGCATAAAATTAGAGATAATAAGCAAACTCATAAACCACAGTTAACTTTATTTCCAGCCTTCTATAGTTAGCTACATTATTTACCATAAGTTTAAAGCTCTTAGATAGAGATCAATTTCTTAACTTTTTCCAAGGTGATATGTCTTTGTTTATAATAACTTTTACTTAAAATAGATAGTAATTGTGACACACAATTAATATATTTGTTAAAATAGATATTTATAAAATAAGCAAAGTTTGAGCTCTACACAAATATACAATTTAAAATATAAAATAAAATTGTTGTTTAAAATTGTCAACAAAAATGTATTATGTATATTGTAAAATAGATATATAGAACTTAAGAATTTTTTTATCTCACAAAGAAATATGCTAACGTTAAAAGTTTTATTTCACTTACCATGACTATTCTTAATATGAAGGCCAAGTATAAAATATGAAGTAGAAGCATATTTGATTTTCCTTTATTTTTTATTATTTGAAAATGCATTTGTTCTGGAAAAGAAGAGAATATTGTAATATTATTATATATAAAATACACATGTTGTTATAAAACTAAATAAAATAATATAGAGATCAAAGAGAGGAAGAGAAAAGAGAAAATAATAGTATATTATTCTTTTCAAAAGTATTTTTTACATTACAATGTGGATCTTATTTATAGCTATTAATAGAGAATAGAAAGATGAAAAGAAGAATAAGAATGAACATTCACTTTTATCTTTATTCATAACAGTCTCCCTTGGACGTGCATTGAGAATATGCCTCGTTAAAATCTTAGTAAAAGAAATTCAGTGGAAAAAAAATCTAAAGAAAAAAGAATATCTTTTGTACTAGTTGATTAAAATTCTATTTGGGAGTGACTTTGTGAAAAGGTCTGTCAGATTATCACATGAACAAATTTGTTGGATGCTTATATCACCACTCTTTTGAAGATCATGAGTAAAAAAGAACTTTAGAGAAATGTGTTTTGTCCAGTCTCCTTTAATGTAAACCATCTTTCAATTGAGCGATGCATGCAATATTATCTTCATATATGGTCGTTGTATTTAATGTCTCAGAAGATAAACCACAAGTATTTCGGATGTGCTGAATTAAGGATCTCAACCAAACGCATTCTCGACTTGCCACATGTAATGCTAAAAGTTCTGCATGATTAGATGATGTTGTTGCTATGGTTTGTTTCACTGATCTCCATGAAATAGTTGTACTCCCACATGTAAACAAATAACCTGTCTGTGATATACCATTATGAGGATCTGACAAGTAACTTGCATCTGCATAAACTGTTAACTCGAATTTGGATATTTTGGTATAAAACAAACCCATGTCTATTGTACCTATAAGGTAACGAAGTATATGTTCGACTCCATTCCAATGTCTTCGTGTAGGTGAAGATAATATCTTGCTAATAGATTGACAACGAATGATATATCAGGACATGTATAATTAGCAAGGTGCATTAGTGCTCCAATTGCACTGAGATATGGTACTCCAGGACCAAGCAATTCTTCATCATTTTCTCGAGGTCTGAAATGATCTTTCTCCACATCTAATGATCTAACAACCATTGGAGTAGACAGCGAGTGACGTTTGTCCATATAGAAGTGTTTTAACACCTTTTCTATATAGCCTTCTTGATGTACAAATATTCCTTTATCCAAATGTTCAATTTGCAAACCTAGACATAATTTTGTCTTTCCTAGGTCCTTCATATCAAACTCTTTCTTTAAACAGTTCATAGCTTTTGGAAGCTCTTAAGGAGTTTCAATAATATTTATGTCATCCACATAGACAACTATTATTGCAAATTCCTTTCCTGATCTTTTTATAAAAATACAAGGACAAATGGAGTTATTTGTATATCTCTCTCTAAGCAAATGTTCACTGAGGCGATTATACCACATTCGTCTAGATTGTTTCATCCCATAGAGAGATTTGTTCATTCTTATGGAGTAGCTTTCTCGAGATTCAAAGTTGTGTGCATCTGGTATATTGAACTCTTTAAGAAGTTTCATGTGAATTTCACTATCAAGTGAACCACACAGATAAGCTGTTACAACATCCATCATGTGAAAATTAAGCCCTTCATGCGCTACAAGTCTTATTAGATATCGAAGAAGTGCTTGCATCCATTACAGATGAATAAGTCTCATCAAAATCAATTCCAGGTCTTTGCGAAAATCCTTGAACGACAAGTCGAGTTTTGTATCTCACAATTTCATTTTTTTCATTTCGTTTTCGTACAAAAACCCATTTGTATCCAACTGGCTTCACACCTTAAGGTGTCCGGACTACAGGTCCAAAAATTTATCTTTTATAGAATGAGTTTAATTTTGCTTCAATTGCATCTTTCCATTTTGGCCAGTCCTTACTTTGTCTACAAATTTTTATAGACGTTGGTTCCTGATCCTCTTTGCCATTTATCTCATTTAATGCTATATTGTATGTAAAAACATCATCAATGTCGACTTTGTTTCGGTTCCATTGTATTCTATTTTGGACATAGTTTATCGAGATCTCTTTATTTTCATGAGTTTCAGGTACCTTATTAATCTCTTCTATAGATGAAATGTTTATTATGTATGAAGGTTCTTTTAGACTTTCTATATCCTCACTTGGGTCATCTTTATTCTTAGCTCCCTTTCTTGTTCGAGAATTTTTATCTTTGGAACCGATTGGCCTGCCACGCTTCAGGTGTGGTTAAGACTCATTGGATTGTTCAACAAGAATATCATTTTTTACTGGAACATTTGCAGCTGGTATATATGATTTAGTCACACCTTTTGGATCAATGAATACATTTGGTAATTGATTTGCTAAGTTTTGAGCTGAATTATCTTTTGAACTTCTAGTTCACATTATTTTGTTTGAGGATCAAGATGAGATAATGATAATTCATTCCAACTGATCTCTTTTTCTTCTTCTTATTCGCTCCCCCTAATGCTGGAAAATTTGATTCATCAAAATGACAATCAACAAAACGAGCAGTGAATAAACCATCTGTTGTTGGTTCAAGGTACTTTACAATAGATGGAGATTCATATTCAACATATATTCCCATTCTTCTTTGAGAATCCATCTTATTACGCCGTGGTAGAGAAATTGGAACATACACCGTACATCCAAAAATTCTTAGATGGGAAATATTAGATTTTTTTAACCAAAAATTAATTGTAAAGGTGAAGATGTGTGGTAACTCGTTGGCCTTATGCAAATCAATGTTGCAGCATGCAAAATTGCATGTCCCCAAGCAGAAATCGGTAGTTTGCATCTCATAATAAGTGGTCTTGCAATTAATTTTATTCGTTTAATAAATGATTCTGCAAGTCCGTTTTGTGTATGAGCGAGCATGTGCTACTGGGTGTTCAATGTCAATTCCAATAGACATACAATACTCATTAAATGCTTGAGATAAAAATTCTGCAGCATTATCAAGACGTATTTTCTTGACAGGATAATCGGGGAAGTGAGCTCGTATTCGAATCAGTTGAGCTAGCAATCTCGCAAACGCCTGGTTGCAAGTTGATAAAAAACATATATGTGACCATCTAGTTGATGCATCAATTAAAACCATAAAATATCTAAATGGTCCACATGATGGGTGTATTGACCCACAAATATCACCATGTATATGCTCTAAAAAACTGATAGATTCATTTCTATTTTTTGTTGGTGATGGCCGAATAATCAACTTCCCTTGCGAGCAAGAGCTGCACGAGAAATTATTTGATTGAATAATTTTCCTACTCATTAATAGATGACCACATTAATTTTCAATTATTTTCCGCGTCATTATATAACTAGGATGGTCTAACCGGTCAGACCAAATTAGAAATTTATCATTATTTGTAAACTTCTGGTTTACAGTTATATGTGCTTCAGTTGTACTAATATAAGTGTAGTACAAACCAGAGGATAAAGTCGATAGCTTTTCCATTACACATTTTGTGTCTGAATTGTGTTTTGTAATACAAAGATATTCAATCCCTCCATCATCTTCTGTTTCAATATGGTAACGTATTGGCTCTTCTAGAGCCTTCGATTATTTTTGAGGTGTCAAATATAGTATTGACATCAGTCTTTCGATTCACTAAATTATAGAACTATCTTTTATTGTTGAGAATTGTAGAGCCTTCGATTATTTTTGAGGTGTCAAATATAGTATTGACATCAGTCTTTCGATTCACTAAATTATAGAAATATCTTTTATTCTTGAGAATTGTGTGGGCTGTTGCACTGTCAGCAAGACACATATCTTCATTACTGGTGCTAGTGTCCATATTCATTCTAAAAGCAATAATAATTTTTAACAATAAGTTATAAGCACACTTTAAAAACACAAGTCATTTAAACAATAAATTATGTAAATAAACAAGTAGAAAATACACTTTATTATTATTAGAGAATAAAATTCAAAACATCCATAAACACTTATTAATAACTAAAAAGGAGATTTTCATAAATTTTATTTCTTGACACTTCCATCTCCAATAAGGTGATCAATTTTTTTTATTTGGATCAGCAAAGAAGTTACCAATATCTAAATGGGTAACATCCATATTACTGTAATCTGGATCATCATCTTCATTAGCAAAGTGAGTCTCAATCCTTACCTTTTTATTTTTCAGTGATTTTTGATAAAGATCAATAAGGTGTTTTGGAGTACGACAAGTGCGACTTCGATGACCTTTTCCTCCACAACGATAACAAGTATTTGCATTGGTTTTGCTACTCTGACCCTCTTTTTCATTCTTTTCAACATTTTTCCACTTCTGGTGGAAATATGTGTTCTTATGATTACCATTGTGACCACGATCAAAATCAAGACCATGAGCATAATTACGACCACGGCAACGTGCGCATGCGCGGTCGTGATCACGGTTTTTCACATAGTGATCGTGCCTTGCAACATTCACTTCTGAGAATGGAGTTGTACCAGTGGGACGAGCCTCGTGATTTTTCATCAAAAGTTCATTATTGAGCTCAGCCATAAGAAGACAAGATATTAGGTCAGAATATTTATTAAATCCTTTTTCTCGATATTGCTGCTGCAGGAGCACATTGGATACATGAAAATTGGATTTTTTTTTCTTCTAATATATCTTCATCAGTTACTTTTTCTCCACATAGTGTCAGCTTGGAAGTTATTCTAAACATTGCAGAATTATAATCACTTACACTTTCAAAATCCTACAAACGTAAATGCATCCAATCATATCGAGTTTTTGATAGGATAATAATTTTTTGATGATCATATCTATCTTTCAAATTTTTTCACAGGACATGTGGGTTAGTTACGGTAAGATATTTATTTTTAAGATCCTCATGAAGGTGACGACGAAGGAATCTTCTAAGTCTTTGACATTCGCCGAATGCTTCGACCTTAACATGGTGTCGAAAGATCAACTAGACCTTCTCTTGAGATTCTTCCAAACCATGTTCAAGATCGGTTCTTGAGACTCTTCCAAACCATGTTCAGCATGCTAGTCGAAGCACATTAGTCGACGTGTTTGTTCCTGTCGAAGTGCTTCAGTCGACGTGTTTATTCCTATTGAAGCTTGCCAATAAATGCTGACATTTAACATTTTCTCAATGTAGCATTCTTTGTTGACTTTTTCCCTACTAGAAATTCCAAGCTAACAGTTAGGGATAAACAATTGTAAAATCTCTAGATCTGCTTGTGTCAAAGGTTCGTGAGCATAACCTGTAAAAGCTCACGTTTATAGTCAAAATTTCAAGAAAGTCTCTTCGGGATAAGAGTATGTCAATGTTTGGCCGAACCGAGATAAATCACTAGTGTCATTTTTCTAAACTCTTATCACTAATGCTTTGTTATATATATGGGCCGACCATACCACTCTCTATCCGACCACATTGAGATGAAATACTTCAGATCAAAACACATCAGCTGACTACTTAGTCACACTTCTAGAATCTTCTCCTGATCGTTAAACTATCATGTATCTTGCTGCAAGAGATTTGTACCTCAAGCACATCAATAAATCCTCTAAATTATGCGTCTGAAAGATAGCGAGACCGTTATTCTTCTGCCTTATATAGAGAATGACTTCACTCAGATAGAGAATTTCAAATACAATTTGAATACTTCATACTTTTTTACATACTAACTTGATCGTACTTAAGCATCGTTATGCTAATTTTACAAGTACGCCCTCCTTACTTTTTATTTTTGGTTTCAATCAAACTAGTTTAAAGAAACGTTTTTTAGTCACCTATTTTTAATGATAGAGCAAGAAAGCCAGAGAAACATAAAGGAGGGTGGGTTTTTATTTTCAATTTTCACAAGAAATTTAATTGTTAAATTGGTGTAAAAATTTTATATTGTGAACGCACCACAATATTATTTTAAAGAGAAAATTTTACTTTATACTCTTATCTTTATTCCTTTATCCCGTCATTTTATAAAAAATATCAATCTTGTTTTTGTATATATTTAACTAATTTATTATTTTATTTTTAAAATATTTTTTAATTTTTATTTTGCGTACCGAAAGACTTTGTAAAAAAATTTTGGTAATTATTTTTTAAATATTTTTTTATACCGAAAAATTTTGCAAAAGAGTTACGGTAATCAATTTTGGTGTACTAGAACACTATGCAAAAGAGTTCCGATAGTTATTTTTTTGTATTAGAAGACTTTGCAAAAGAGTTCGGTAGTCATTTTTAAAAATATTTTTTAACTTTTATTGTGTACTGAAAGATTTTGTAAAAAAGTTTTGGTAAATAATTTTTGTGTACCGGAAGACTTTGCAAAAGAGTTCCGGTAGTCATTTTTCAAAAAATTTTTTAATTTTTTTTTTACACCTGAAGATTTTGCAAAAGAGTTTCGTTAGTCAATTTTTATATACCAGAAGACTTTAAAAAAAACTCCGCTAATCATTTTTTAAAATATTTTTTAACTGTACTAGAAGACTTTATAAAAGAGTTCAAATAGTTAATTTTTATATATTAAAAGACTTTACCGGTAATCCGCTTTTATAATATTTTTTTTAACTTAATAAATTATTTATATGAAGATATTTTAGTAAAAGAATATATAATGTAAAAATAGGAGAAAAAATATGATGTATGCAGTAAAATTTTTCTTTAAAGATAATTATGATAAATATCAAATATATCTAATGATCGAACAATTGTGATTACCTAACGATGTAAAAACTCCTTAAGTTGACCCTGTATATAAATTAAAAAAAACATTGATTTATAGTCAGGGCTGAACAAGTTGCATTGTATAAAAGATCAAGTACTTGGAGTTGGAGGTTTGTTAAACTCTACAACTCAAAATAATAAGATTGACTTATTCGTCCATCATCGGCAGAGATCAATTGAGCTGTAATAATTCCAATTAAAACTTTAATCAGACGATTGTAAATGTGTAATACTCAAATGTAATTGATTTAGTTTTAACCTTGAATATAAATAGTCATGTTGAATTAGAGTTAAATTTTGAAATGGAAATCAAAAAATTATTTAAAATAATGAAAGCTTACAATCTGATTCTTCATCTTCGTTACGCCACTTATTCCAATCAACCTTTAGGTATGGAGCAAGTTTCTCTTCGGACTTTAGTAGTCTTTTCCACCAACCTCTTTGTCCTTTCTAAATTGAGCATAGTATGTTTCCTGAACTCGAATTTATTTTACAGTCCTACACAGTACAATGACAAATTTACCAGACATAACCATCCACGCTTTTCAAAACTGGATATGGAAAAAACTGAAACTATCGGTAAAGTGAAAGAGTAGAAAACTTGAGATGCAATTGTTGATATTGTGGAAAGTGCAGACAAATGTAATCGCAATTTTTAAATGTAACTAATCAAAATATCACTCACCTCAGGTTCAATCGATCCATAAAGTTCCAAAGTAAAGCTGTAGGATTCATGTTGAAGCTTAGAAGCAGTGAAAGTAAACAAACCATGAGGCTCACACTTCTCTGAAACATCCTTGACATCAGTTACAGAAACAGTCAGATAAAGCTTATCAGAACGCTGCGTCCACAGAACTTCCGGTTGGCGACTACACACATATCAATAATCAAACTAGGGGGGAAATAATTTTTCAACAATAGGGTTCTGCAATAATATATCAAACAGCAATTTGAGCCACCACAACTATTAGAATTAGAATTTGATTTAATTCATCCCTACAAAACTGACTAGTAAGGTGAGGGGTATCACCCAATAAAAACAATTTCCAAACTCTACCAATAACTAATGTAAAATTTGAGATTTTCTCAATACACTCCTCACGCCAACACTATTGAGTTTGATGCGTAAATATAAATGATAAGTGGCATGTGGTCCATCGATAGTCTTTAATATCATCTTAAAATTAGAATTTGGCCTAACTCTATAAAAAGAACTAAGTGGTGATGCTGCGTTAAAAAGGAGTTTACATGGCAATCCAATACGGAAACATAAATAGTAATCTTATCTTAAATTAGTTACGCATGCCAAATTTAACAAATCAAAAATAGCTACCAAAATTAACAGAATTTTCTGTCCATTACTCAAAAATAGCAATTAATAATATCTCATTACCGTATATAAAATCCAGAAACTCAAATTCCAAATCAATCACTTTTTTCACAGCTTCAAAATCCCTAGCCTCTCCGGTTCCAAGATATGGCATCTTCATCACAAAAGATACTTGTAACTGGAGGGGCTGGTTTCATCGGGGCTCACACCGTTGTCCAGCTTCTCAAAGATGGGTTTCAGGTTTCCATCATTGATAATTTCGATAATTCTTCAATGGAAGCAGTGGTCCGTGTTCGTGAACTAGTTGGTCCAAAGCTTTCTCAGAATCTTGAATTCACACTGGGAGATCTCAGGAATAAAGATGATTTGGAGAAACTCTTCTCCAAAACTAAATTTGACGCAGTGATTCATTTTGCTGGGCTAAAAGCAGTTGGTGAAAGTGTTGCAAATCCTCGTCGTTATTTCGATAATAATCTTGTTGGCACCATCAATCTCTATGAAGTTATGGCTAAGCACAATTGCAAAAACATGGTTTTCTCATCATCTGCAACTGTTTATGGCCAACCTGAAAAGATGCCATGTGTGGAGGATTTCAATTTACTAGCAATGAACCCTTATGGACGGACGAAGCTTTTCCTTGAAGACATTGCGCGAGATATTCATAAAGCTGAGCCAGAATGGAGAATCATTTTACTGAGATACTTTAATCCAGTTGGGGCACATGAAAGTGGTAAACTCGGCGAAGATCCTAGAGGCATCCCGAATAACCTCATGCCTTATATACAGCAAGTAGCCGTTGGAAGATTATCTGAGCTCAATGTATATGGTCATGATTATCCTACAAGGGATGGCTCTGCGGTGCGGGACTATATCCATGTGATGGACTTAGCCGATGGTCACATTGCTGCCCTACGAAAGCTTTTCGCAACCGAAAACATAGGTTGTGCGGCTTACAATTTGGGAACTGGACGTGGTACATCTGTGCTTGAAATGGTTGATGCATTTAATAAAGCTTCTGGTAAGAAAATCGCATTGAAATTGTGTCCGAGAAGGCCAGGAGATGCCACGGAGGTTTATGCATCTACAGAGAAAGCTGAGAGAGAACTCGGTTGGAAGGCCAAATATGGTGTAGAGGAGATGTGCAGGGACCAGTGGAATTGGGCAAAGAACAACCCATGGGGTTACTCAGGGAAGCCTTGAATCAGCTCCACAAATACACTACTCTACTGATATTTTGTATACAAATAGGTCTCCCATTGTTAAGGGTACTTGAAGCATGTTTAGACCAAAAGTCTAATTTTAATGTGATTCTCCGCTATTTGAAACCAATATTCAAGAAGTTAATAAAACTAAAATGCTCAAATGGCTCAAAATACTGAAACTTAATAGGGTTTTACAAAATGAAGGTTTCTAATGTCTCTGCAATGTAACCATAATTGAAACCCTAACAATAGTCTCTGAATGCGATTCTTTGCGAATTTCGTGATTTAAAATCCAACATTGAATTAGCTAATAAACATAAATTGATTAGATGACTAAGAATATTGAAACTCCAGAGGGTTTTACAAACAAATGAGTCAACAATATATCATAAAATTTTTTTTTCTTCATTATTACAAAAGATATGATTTTGATGCTGAAAACAAATGTAGCAAAGACAACAATAACATAAAATTGAAATGGGGAAAAGCTAAAACAAAGCAACAGTGCAAGTAATAATAGGTTTTCTTCATAGAAGAACATAGAAAAGTTGGAGAATTCAGCAACAGAAAAAAGTAAAACGAAAGAGAAAAAAAGTTACAGATGACACCAAGGTGTTGAATATGTATCTTGTTTAAAAATTATAAACTTAAAAACCTCCACAATGATTAATAATATGTCATATAAATCCACTATCAATCAATTATCAATTATCTAACTATTAAAATAAAATGCTACCATTATATCTAATTTACCCTTATGTGTCCAATTAAATTATACATACAAAAGGATAAATTGATCAAATGCCTTTTTGAAGTTGAATTCAACCGAGCTGATGTGAGAAAGGTCGTTTTTAGCTGCGACGGTAACAAGAGTCCAGGTGTTGATGGATTTAATTTTAAATTCATAAAATTTTGTTGGGACATTGTTGGACAGGACTTTACAAATTGCATCCTGGAATTCTTCAAGATAGGAGTTCTGCCTAAGGTGTTCGTGTCATCGTTCATATCGCTAGTGCCGAAAATTAATAATTCTCAAAAGTTTGAAGATTTCAGACCTATTACTTTGGTTAGCTGTGTTATTAAGATTATCTCCAAGATGTTAGCTTTCAGATTAAACAAGGTTCTGCACAAACTTATTTCTCCGACACAAACAACTTTCATCCTGGGACGTCAAATTTACGATGGGGTTCTGTTGGCCAACGAATTAGCAGACTATGCTAAGAGATTTAAGAAGGAGTGTTTGTTTTTCAAAGTCGACTTCGCTAAAGCCTACGATTGTGTGGACTGGTCTTACCTTGAAGATATGCTTATTAAGATGGGTTTCGGTTCAATTTGGATGAAATGGACTCGAGGTTCTGTCTTTAATAGTTTTGTTTCGATCCTTATTAACGGAAGCCCTTCGAAGGATTTTAAGATTGGAAGAGGGTTGAAATAGGGTGATCTGTTGGCACCGTATCTGTTTGCCATAGTTGCAGAAGGTCTCTCTTGTTTAGTTAGAGCTATGGCTGCCGGTAACTTATTATTTGAATTCAAGATCAACAGTAAAGCCAATGCGAACCTGCTCCAATTCGCCGATGACACTCTCTTATAGGAGATGGATCGTTTTCTAATATTTGGATTTTCAAGGCGATCCTGCGTACGTTTGAATTGAGCTCTGGTCTGAAGATTAATTTTTCTAAAAGTTGTCTTTACGGAATAGGTGTAGAAACTACGTTCCTTGATGCAGCAGAAGAATTTCTGCATTGTAAATCTGGTAGGCTGCCCTTCAGTTTCCTTGGTCTTATGGTAGGAGGTAATCATCGCCGGAAATCCTTCTGGAATCCGGTTTTGTCTCGGTTGAGGAATAAACTTTCTAATTGGGCTGGGAGAAATTTGTCGATGGGAGGTAGAGTTTCCCTCATAAACTCGGTTTTAGTTAACATGCCTATTCATTTCTTGGCTTTTTTCAAGGCTCCCAAGAAAATTGTGAAAGATATTATTGCTATCCAACGACATTTTCTCTGGGCTGGGAATTCCAATAATAAATTCATCTCTTGGGTTTCTTGGAATGCTATGTGCAAATCTAAGGAGCACGGAGACCTTGGTATTAAACATGTTTGTCATTTTAATAGAGCCCTTATAGCAAAATGGTTGTGGAGATTTCAAAACGGCGGTAATGACATTTGGAGATCGACGTTAAATCTCAGATATGGTAACTTGAGTTTGAAGGTACAGACTTATGCCGATGCCGGTGGTTCAAAATGTGACTCAAATTGGATGAAGGATACTCTCTCTAGCTCTAGCAACGGTTCCCATGAGAAATTTTGTCAGTTCATGGCTTGCAAGATTGGTGATGGTAGTGATACAGCCTTCTGGCAGTCCATTTGGATCAAAGTGATACCGCTTAAAAGTAGATTTCCGCGTCTATTTCAGGGTTGTTCCCGTAAAGGCGTGAGTGTTAGTGAGATGGGAGCTTGGGAAGACGGTCAATGGATTTGAAACTTGAGTGAATTGTTGATAGATATGGATTCTATTCATGAACCAGAGTGGACTGAATGTAAGTTGCTATTGGATCAGACTGCAGCAAAAATAGATGTCGCTGATAATTGGAAATGGATTCTTGATGAGTCTCATTCGTACAAGGTTAGTTCTTTCTATTCCTCTTTAAATTCTTCCGCATCTGAGCTTGAGCTTCAAAGAGATAGCGTAATTTTTCTTGAGAACCTTTGGAAAACGGTACTACAGGCAAAAATTCAAACTTTTATTTGGAGGATGGCGTTAGATAGACTGCCTACTAAATCTAACTTGATGAAAAGAAGGGTGATTATTGATACTCAACTTTTAGATTATGCTTTCTGTTCGTCTAGTCTCGAGGACATATCTCATCTGTTTTTCTCGTGCTCTAAATCCTTGATGGTTTGTAATAAGATCTGCGAATGAGTTGATATTGGGTTCACAGCGGATGATAGCGGTTATCTTCATGCGGAGACTTGAAATTCGAGAACTTCGGGCCGGTGCAAAGAGAATAAGATCAACTCAATTTGGTTTTTTTCGTGCTGGATTTTATGGAGGGCCAGAAATAATATTACTTTCAATCATGAAACTTTTGATGTAGACGAAATTGTTTTTGATATTAAAGTATCATCGTGGAATTGGTTGATTTTAGGTAGGAAGGATAGTAAGCATTGTAGCATGTACGAGTGGTTTAAATTTCTGTTTCATTTTTTGTAATAGTCTAGAATCTGAAAGGGGTTGTTGTATTGTTGTCTTGAGATTCTCTTAATCTCTTTTAACAATATTTGCTTATAAAAAAAAAATTGATCAAAGCTTAATCAACAATTTTTCTCACTTGTCTTTGCAATTTCATTATGCCATATGTATTTCTAATTTTCCCTCCTTCTCAAAAGTTTATTTCAATCTTATCTCTCTTAATCTATTCACTGCACACTTACCCATCACTCAACATTTATCCTTCATTTTTCTTCATTCCCATTTCTCCGTTATTTCACCATTTATGATTCTTGTTCAGTTTCAAGATATACTCTTCCTTCTCATTTCAACTTATTAGGAGTTGTTTAATTTTTTTTTGAAAATAGATTCAACCTTAGTACATTTATTTTGGCTTCATGTTTTTTTTTTCTCTTTCTTGTGATTTTGATCTCATTTTTTGTGAACGAGAACTTTAAAATTATGTCTATTTTGCAAGAACCGTTTTTCACCATGTTCTACACTTTTTCTTCGTAGATGTATGAAAATATTGACGATTTGAACCTGATAAAAATTCTGTCTTTTTCCTGTAACCAACGAATTTAACCATTGAACATTTGTAGATTTTGTAGCTTGCTGTGTACATTTGTTTTTCATTAAAAATAAAATAATCAATTTAAAAGCACAAAGAAGAAGAAGTCTGGGTAATAAAGAGGTGTGATTTATGTTTATTGTGAAATATTTACTGTAATCGAATAAACACAAATTATAATATATTATAATATTATGGAATAATAAAAAACAATAAGAATGGTGTATCTTGTAAGATTTGAGAGACGGTCGTCGAAATAATGAGTATGAGAGGATTACTACCCTCATTGTCGTTTAAGATTTTCAGAGTATATTAATTGTCTAATGGAGAGACACTTAAATAGTTAAACGACTGAGGGGAGGGACCTCTCATTGGACTTAACTGAATGGTCCAACCCACTACCGTTCATTCAGGCAAAAAAACTCAATCAAACAATTCATTTATTTAGTGTTTAATAATAATAGACCATAATATAATTAATTAATAATTAGTTATCTCAATCTATATTTGATTAATCATTTAATTAATTTAACAATCTCCCACTTAGATGACAATAATTAATTATTAAAAATATTGATTTTTAATATTATAATATCAGTAATGGTCAAAACACTAATCAATAAAAAAAATAAGTAAATTTCAATGCTGCAAAAATTGTATCCGACAGGGAAGACAAATCATACCTGTTAAAACTCAAAGAATGATGACTTTAGAGTAACATATTTAATTTCAGAATAATGATGTTATAAAGAATGGTCCAAGCATATGAAAATATTATTGATAAACTCTCACTAACCCAAAGTATCATAAGACTTACTCATGTGTATAAGTCAATGGTTAGTGATTATACTAATGGGTTTTAAATTATAGGTTATAGAATATCCACATAGGTCTAAGAATGATAATTACATATAGGGGTACCCTATTACGAGAGTAATTACATTTAATCATAAGTACCTCCGTAACACAATATCATACTCGATAGAAGTATTAATATTTACTTGTATTTTCATATTATGATCTGACAAATGTGAACTATTGAAGATAGAATAACACAATATTATTGCATGCTAAAGAATTATAGTGTCTTTTCACTTTCGACCTAAACATCAAATTATGATGTTTCCTGAGATATCTCAGTATAACAGAATAAGACTTCTTATAATTACTTCATATTTTGAAGTCCTTTAAGAATATGTCATATTTACAGTGGATGCAAT